TCTATAATAATAAAAGGGTAATGTGCTAATTAGACCGGACATCTTCCGGACGTCCTCCCTGACGAAGCCCAGCCCAGAGGGAAGCCAGTCAGGGTCCCAGGTGCTGCTGCGGCCAGAGGAGGGAAGCCTGGGCCCCGGTTCCAGAGGGAAGCGGTCCGGCACCCGGCGGAAGGAAAGCCTCTCTTGCACGAAGCCGGGGCTGCAAAGCGCTCAGCCCCTTGCACGGATTTCTTGCATCGGGCCGCTAGGAAGTATATATTGTCAAATGGAACTTTTGACACAAAAACAGGAGGTAAAGTAATTTTTAGTTGATGGAAACATTTTCCCATCAATGACTAAAGTAAGACTCAACTTCACAAAAAGTTTAACCTGGGGTTTGGATTTGGGCCTCTTGAGACACATACAGAGAAGAACAGCTCGTTCACACTGGCGGCACCTCGGCGGGAACATGCAGAGGCAGACTAACCAACATCACTGTTTTAAGGGCCTGATATTTACAAAACTGAAGAAGGGAGAGAAAGTCTAAGTTTTTATTTCAGCTCTGACCGTTAACGCACTGCAAAAAAGAGCAGACAAAATTTCCGAAATGGCTTCAACCTTATTCCCATGACCCTCATTCCAACCAGCCTCAGACCAGAACACTCCCAGTGGCACCAAGAAGCCTACAAACAGTGCACGTCAGCGTACGTCTAACAAGTCACACAGCCACCAGTGCTCTCACGTCCGCACAGCGCACGGACTTGGGCTGCTTCCTTCCGTCACTCCCTCTGCCACGCGAGTAAGATGACCTCCTGCCGTGTGGCCCTTTGCGAAAAGGCTGAGGTTTTACCCAGAGACGGGCATGTTAATCCAGTGCTCTGCCACCTGCCCCCGCAACAGATCTGCCCAGAGAACAGCTGCCCACCAGCAGCTCTGCTGAAGTTTTAAGCACAGACTAAAATAGAAGTCAAGAGCCAGCGAGTCCCCAGAAAGTGAGCGCAGAATAAAATGGCAACTCTTCTTAGAAGACATACATGAAGCATCCCCAAGACGTTTCCTCTGCTTGGGAAGGCAACTCTCAGACCGTTTCTCTTGAGTTCTTTCAATTGATTTTTTTTTGAGAGAGGAAGGAAGAGGGAAGAACATGGCTGTGCTGCTCCACTTATTAATACGTTCACTGGTTGATCCTGTCTGTGCTCTGACCGGGAACAAACCCGCAGCCTTGGCACATTGGGACGACACTGTAACTGAGGCACCCGGCGGGGGCCTTTCTGTTTTAATAACCCCCTAGCACGCCAGTAAGAGGCCAAGATCAAGTAGAAACTGGGTCACCCTACAAAATCTCCAAGGATTAAAACCTGCTGCAAGCCTCAGAGAGCTCGCTTCCTCCAGTCAGTACCACTGCACTCAAGTCGCAAACCCAGCCTGACCCACATCGTCCCCAACATTTCAGAGCAAATACAGTAAGTACTCCCGCCGACCCTCCTACGAAAGCCAGGCAGTTCACATAGCGGAAATGACCTCCTACTGTACCCAACCACACAGCTTCTCCCCTCTCCGCCCGATCCAGCACCTGGTAGACAAAACAGATGGTAGGTGCTTGGAGCCGTAGAGGAACTTGACGTCGATGACATGCAGCTCCTCCAGGCGGATGTTGAAGGCCTTGAGCTCCTTGTTGTCCCGGTCCAGTGGAATGACCTTGAAAAGGCCGTCGTAGAGCCGCAGGCCGATCATCCGGCACTCGGGGTCGATGATGCCGATGATGCCGGTCTCCGAGGGCCGGCCGATTCGGTCCTGGAAGTAACACTGGGTCAGGGAAGAGCCTCCACACCCACAGCCACAGAGGACCCGGCACCGCTTCCCCAGGACGGGTTAGGAGGTGGTCGAACTGGGGGCATCTGTGTGACACGCAGGAAACCCAGTGCCAGTGCCTGTCCTTCTGTAAAACACGGAACTCAGTGGATTCTTTCATTTACCCCGTCCCCTGGACTCTGAGTGAACTAGAGAAGTCCTTTCTAAAAGCCCAAGCCCTGTTGCTTTCTCCTTGTTTCTCTGGTCATGGAGAGAGCTGCCCCCAGCGCTTCCATTTTCTCCATCAAATCCTGCCCCCCCCCCCCGCCCCCAAACTCTCCTCAGCCAGAGGCAGCCCCGCACCTGGACGTTGCCATGGGCTCGTGTGATGATGTCGATGCTCTCACCGCTCTGCTTGTACTCCAGGATGCAGGCGTTGTACTTAGCTGTCAGGATAAACAGCAGGTCCTTGCTCTCCCCCTGGAAACCAAAATTATGCTATCAAAAGAGGTTCTTTTTAAAACAGACATTCCTGGCCAGCCTGTAAGCACCATTCTTTAAGCATGCTAACTTACTTACGCACTTTTTTCTCCCTGAAGAGAAAATCTACAGTGAGTATATAACAAACCTAAGTGCACACACTTGAAGGATGTGCGAAAGCCCAGAACTGGAGCTGGTGAACACCTAATCCTCAGTCATGAATCCACACCTCTCTGCTCTACGTTCAATGTCTTCATCTATTTCCATATCGAGCTAATCGAAATCATCCCTTTCAATTCTGAAGATGAATGCAATGACTTCTCTAATCTTCTCCGAGTATTTGGAGAAAGAAGGAAAACACGTGAATAACAATGAAGCTAAAATGGTTCTACAGTCTTATTAACACAGACCCCCACGCTGTGAGTATTTTCATCAAAGAGGCTGTAATTAAGATTCTGAACCCACTGCTTTCTTGTTAGGTTCATTAAGATATAATCAAGTAATATGGTGCCTCATTAAGTAAAAACACTTGAATTATAATAATGTGATAACTATTAACATAACAATGAGTGCTTGCTATGTGCCAGGCCCCGTGTTATTAAATCATTTAATCTTCACACTAAACCAGGGGATTGGATACTTTTATCCCCATTTTGCAAACAGAAAATAAGGCTCTGGAAGGTTAAGTGACACCCAAAGTTAGAATTTATAAGCCAGGGCTGCCCTACTCCAGAGCCAATGCCCGGAGTCACCATGGCGACCCACAGTATGGTGACCCACATTTCCAACTGCTTCCATTTCCTCTTCTCACAGAAGTCCACTTGCTCATTTTTTCCCTTGTCAATTTCTCCCAGTTCTAGGAAGCTTGTTCAAGAATATAAATTAACGCCTGCCATTCCAAAGGAGTCGTTGCTCTCCTAAGCCTTTCTCCACCCATCCCAAGCAACGACGTAACACAACCTACGACCCTCTTCGTTGCTGGGCCCAGCCCAGAGCACGTACCTTGGGCCTGAAGAGCTCCATGACGGCGATCTTCCCGTACATGCCCACCTCCTTAACGGGCCGGAGCCCCTCTGCGGTGACCACATAGATCTCCAATCGCGTGTTCTTGGCAATCAGCAGGTTCAAGTCTTCCGCTGACGTGAAGTGTCCTGAAGGAACAGACAGATCCTGTCACTGCTGAACCACAGCTTCAGAATTCCCACTTAATTCATACATCTCCCAGCTCCCTCCGGCCACTCACTCCCATCTCACCAAACCCCGCACCTCAGAGAGTCTCACTCAGGCCGTCAGGAAAGCTGCTTCTCTGATCAGACTAAGAAAATCAGACCAGGAAACCTGGACAGGGCTCGGGGCAGCGTGACGATGACTGTGAACCCCCTCCCAGGGCTCTGCGCCCCCCACTTCCCTTTTCCTTTTGCGAGGGCCGCCTATCCTCTAATCGAGGGGTGCTGGGCCGGAGGCTGTCCGTTTCCCTTAGGTCCTTACCTAAACGTCCACAAAATCTTTACCCGACAAGCAGACCGGGTCAGAGGCGCATTCTGGGAGCTCTGCACCCAAACACCGTCTGTCCGCACCCCCTGCCCGCCCAGCCGTGGGCCAGCCAGCACCCTCACCCACACTCTCACGCTGCCAGCTCTCTGACAGCTGTTTGTTTTGGAATCATAAGGAGCATTTGCTGGAAGTTTGAGGTCCTCATTTTGCTGAAAACCGGGTTCAAGAGGACTGATTATTCCCGGGTCCTGGACACCCGTGTTCTCAATCAACGAGGCAGACCCAGCGCCGGGTCGGGCCCGCTCCCCGCCCTTCCAGCAGCGAGTAAACAACAGCCCCGGGCCAGGAGGACTCATCCCGTCCAGCTCGGGGCGGGGGCGCGGGCCGAACCCCTCCCCGCCCCCCTCCCGCCCAGGCTCTCCCCAAGGCCAATTCTACCCCGATCGCCACCGCCACGGGCCCCCTTCCCCCGACCACACGAGGCCCATCTCGGGGCCCCAAGCAAGCACCGCAACGACCGACTCACACTCGCTCTTCGGTCCTCCCTGGGCCCCGCCCCCGGTCCTCCGAGGTCAGATGACCTCCCAGGACGAAAGGGGACCCCCGAAAGCAGCCCTGGAACCCCAAAAGGCGCATGCGGACACAGCTTCTTTGGAGTCGTGGGCTAGGAGGTTCCTCGGCCGCCGGTGCCCCCCATCCCCCGGGCCGGGTCCCGCCCGGCCGCCCCAAGGGTCGCGGGCCTCCCTAGGCCGCGGGGGCCCCCGGATCCCGCCCTCGCCGGGGTCTCCGGCCCTGGCAGCCTCACCGGTCACGCAGCCGTTCACGGCGGTGGGCTTCTGCGCCGTGACCACGTAATTGTACGACATGTCGAGGGCTGGGGCGGCCTGTCGAGACGCGAGCGCGACGAGAGAGAGACGGACGCCGGCGGAGACACAGGGGGCCCGACCCCGCGCGGCGAGCTCCACGGCCGCTGCCTCCGCCCCGCAGACACGTTGCAGCCCAGAGCGGCCCGGGCGCGGGGCATCACGGGACGGCTTCACCTGGCCTCCTGGAGGACTCACGGCGCCCCGGGCGGCCAATCAGGGGAGGCCCCGCCCCGGAGGCCCCGCCCCTCCGCGCACCGCCGGCGCTCCGAGTACCCGGATGAGGGCGCCCGTTGTGGGTCCTCGGGAAGCCGTGGTGCCGGCGGGTGGGTGCCGGGGAGAGAGGGGCTGGGGGAGTAGCGCCGACGCCCGCAGAGCTGACCCGCCGCCCTCCCCCCGGTGCGCGCCCTCTCCCCCGCCAGGCCCCATCCTAGGCGACTCCGCGGCTCCCAGCCCTCGGGCTGCCATTCCTTTGGAACCGGAAGAGCCGCAGGGGCCTGGGCAGGGGAGGGGGGCGGTGATAGCAGTGTGTGCAGCTCCCAGGCTAGGACCAAGGTCCGTACCTCCCTCCCCTCGGCCCGCCCAGCTGACCCCAGAATGACCCTCCCGACCCCAGAATGGCCTCTCACCCCTGCCTCACCTGGGGGAGGGGGGTACCAGGAGGCTCACCTCTCCCCTTTGAACTTTTGTTTTATTCTTCAGACTTTGAAGGGCCCGCCAGGCCGCAGGCCCAGCACGGCTAGTGCCCCTAATTGCTGTGCAATTTCTAACCATGCAAAACCAGAATTTCCCGGGAGAACCTTAATGACCCAGAAAGGCAATCCTTAGCTCTGCAGCGTAATTGGCCTCACCAGATCACGTGGTTCGGGAATGGGAGACCACGTGGTCTGGAGCGCCAGCAGAATGCCACAGACCTTATGGCCCCATTTTACAGATGAGGAAGCTGAGGCTCCGGGCCGTTGGTTTACCTAAGATCCCCCAGTAAGTCAGAGGCAGAACTAGGCGCAGAGCCTGCCGTGGACTCTTCCCATTGCAGACTCATTCCCTGCGCCCAAGACCCTGAGTGACCCCAAGACACCTGTGAACCAGGCGGGACTGAGGGGAGCTAAAACATGCCTAGGGGTTCCAGGGGTGGTTTCCCACACCAGGGACGCTGCATGACTTTGCAGGCATTGAGTTATCCGTGGGAAGAACACAGGCTTTGTAGAAAGACTAGACGTGGGTTTAAGTCCTGGCTCTTAGCATGACCTTGAACAAGCCCCTAGAGCTTTGGAGTCAGTGTCCTAGAACTAAAATGTGCTCACAGCTCAGCTGCCTTCCTCTTGGTTTGATACCAACAGCAACAAGAGCAAGTGCATGAAGATCTTTGTGAGTGTATTCACTGCACACGATGCTTATGTGGGAGAGGGTGTTACTCTGGTTCATCGCACCCTTGGGTGGTGAGGTGGGTGCTCTCTGTGCCCACTGTGGGCAGATCTGCCTTCTGGCAGCCACATCAGGTGAACCTTGGCCAGCCCCACGCTCCACTCCATCCCCAGCGCACGTTCTGGAGTTTAGACTTGGATCAAAGTCTGGGGCAGCTCCCTAATTACGAGGGCCTGGAAGCGTGATGTGCCAGTAGCTGCGAGCACCTCCAGCGACCCACATTCTCACTCTCCTGCAGGTGCTGCCGCCCACCTGCCCCGTGCTCCGGCCCAGGCAGCACCCATAGATCGCCCGTCCTCCGGCAGCTCAGTGCCAAGGCGCCAACTCAGCCTGCTAGCTTCAGCACCTCCCCACCATGGTGAGTTGCAGGAGCCCCAGGCTAGGGGAAGGCCCCTGTGGGCCCAGGGCATGGCGGGGGGTGGGGGGGGGGGGGAGCATGCCAGCCCTGGGCACGCTGGAGTTCCTTACACTCTGACCAAGAGATGCTGCTGCCTCCTAAGGTTCAAAGAGGTTAAGACAGAGGGCCCTCTCGGGGCCTGGTCCCTGCTTCCCTCCATTTCCTAGCTAGTCCCGGCTGGCCCAGGGCTGCAGCCTCTGAGTCCCTCCAGGGCCATCTGCCCCCTGGTCTGGTCATGTCTTTGGAACAGTCACAGTTACCTGCACTGGAGTAGACACTGTACCAGCTACCGAGGGACCAGGAGGAAGGACGTGGGCTGTGCGGGCTGGTCCCATGGGGGGTCTTCACTTGGGGACGCGCAGCACCGCTGAGCATTGCTCCCTCTCCACTTGGAGCAGATGTGCAGCAAAGCAGGCCTCGCACAGACCTAGTCCAAATCCAGCTGCCACTGACCAGCTGTGTGGCCTGTTACAGAAGACGCGCTCTCTCTGAACCCCTTTCTCCTTGCAGTACGAGGCCGGTTAAGCCCTCCCTGCAGTGGCCCTGAGGTGTTTATCAGACGGGTCCTGGGGCCGAGCACAGTGCCCTCAGGCCGAGGGAGCCAGGATGGCCCTGGTCCCTGCCCTCCTCTGACTCTGGGGTGGGGATGGTTGTCAGCGATGGCAAGGGGTCACCTTCTTGGTGGGTGGTGGCGCTGGAGGCTGGGCTTGGAGCCGAGACCAACCACAGCTTTGTTGCATATCCAGTCCCTGTCGGGAAGAGCTCAGCCCCTGGGGGAAGCAGCGTGGAGCAGCAAAACGGAACCAGTGTTGGAGCCAGGCAGACGTTTGCTGGCTGTGTGATCTTGGGCGAAGTCACTTAACTGTGCCTCGGTTTCCCCACCAAGCGAACCCTTCCTCCATCGGGTTGGTGGGAACATGAACGAGACAAGCTCAAAAGCACCTAGAAGCCTGACTCTCAGGCACGGCTCGGAGTGGATCTCATTATCCTGCTCTCTCCATGCTGACCTGTATTTGTTCCCTGGAGCAGATGGCTTGGCTATGGCCCCTGCCAGACCCAGGCAAGGTCAAAGTTTACACAAAGGAACCTGCTGCTCACAGGCTTGAGGGAGGAGCCTCCGGAAGTGCAGCTTGCCAGGGCCCGGCTCAGCTGCAGGCTGCCCCGCCCGGCCCTCTGGGTCCCTTTTGGGCGCTAGTCTCACTCTCTTTGGGACAAAAGCAGGAACTGCCTGGGTCGGCAAACCTCCTCAGCTAGTCACAGCTTTCTGAGAAAGGAAGTAGCGCCCTGGTATTCAGCTTTTACTATATGACAGGCTTACGCCTGTGACGTCCCCGTGGTGCAGAGGAAGACTTGAAGCTCAGAACAGTGAGGTGCCTTCCCCGAGTCCTCAGCCCAGGGAGGCAGGCCTGGGATTTGCTCCCAGCTGCCGGTGCCTGCAGAACCCAACCCTTCGCCCTGCTCCGGGTCACTCAGGCCACCCGCCCTGGCCCTCCAGGACTCCAGTCCCCCTTTTCTTTGCATGGAAGCCATTCTTCAGGATAAATTTAAGCCATAATCCAAAACGTTTCAAAAGGACAAATTAACAAGAGAACTCACAGAAATAGCCACCTGATAAAACGAGGCAGGGTTCTGTGTGCCCCTGGCGTTCCTGAGTGGGCGTGGAAGAGGGGTCGTGGCCATAGCAACGGGACTGGTGGCCTGAAACTCCTCCTCGCTCCTCCCCCGTAGGCCTCCAAGAAGCTGGTGAACTCGGTGGCAGGCTGTGCCGACGATGCCCTGGCTGGCCTGGTGGCCTGCAACCCCAACTTGCAGCTCCTGCAGGGCCACCGCGTGGCCCTCCGCTCTGACCTGGACAGCCTCAAGGGCCGGGTGGCACTGCTGTCGGGTGGGGGCTCCGGCCATGAGCCTGCCCACGCCGGTGAGTGCCCCAGCCAGAGGCGGGGGGTGGGGGCTCCGAGGAGATGTCAGTGCTGGTAGGAGGTTCAAAACGCAGCCCAGACTCCAGAACTGGGTCCTGGTTCCCGCTCTCCCCCTCCCTCAGGCTGTGATTTGGGTCGTTATGGCCTCTCTCTGGGCCTCAGTCTCTATAGCTTATAAAAGTAACAGGTTGGGCCAACTGACCTCTCAGCCCCTTCCAACTCTGAGAGTCAGTGAGTCTGTGAAACCTCCTGGCTGCCAGCTGACCTGCCACCTCCTCCAAGAAGCCCTCCTGACTCTTGCAGCCTAGAGCAACATCCCTCTTCTGAATTCCCACCCTGCATTTTCACAAAAACACGAACAGCCCTGGATTGTTTTTGTCCAGTGCCGGGCGTGCGCTCTCCCTGAGAGCTCCTGCGGGCAGCAACCAGGCGTTGGAGCCTCTGTGCCTTTGCTGTCTCCCTTCGGCAAGTCCCATCCATTCAGCAAACAATCCTGAGCACCCAGGGCCCCCCTGGGTCTTTCCTGATGCTGTACCGATGTCCTGGGCACTAGGGATGCGACAGTGAACCAGACAGACAAGGGGCTCCCCTCATGGAACTCTGTTCTCCTTTGGGGAGACAGACAGTAGCCAGGTAAACACATAAGTGAAGAGATCGTTCCAGAGTGTGTACGTGAGGCCTGAAGGCGAGAGCAGGGGAAGGAGCAGCGAGCCATGGGCTGGGGTGGCAGCGCTCAGCTGCGGGCCAGGGAAGGCCTGTCCAGGGAGAGAACTGAGTGAAGATCTGCGGAGCAGCCCAGGTGCTTGTCTAGCGTCGGGCACGCAGGGGGCCACCTGCCCGTGACGCTCAGGAGCAGGGGAGACTCTGCGACAGCCAGCACGGTGACCCAGCATCCTCCCCCACCCATCGCCAGGTTTCATAGGGAAGGGGATGCTGACGGGGGTCATCGCGGGAGCTGTGTTCACCGCCCCGGCAGTGGGCAGCATCCTGGCAGCCATCAGGGCAGTGGCCCAGGTGGGCACAGGTACGCTGGGGTGCAGGAGGGGCTGCTGCCAGGCGGGGAGGCTGGGAGGGGGTGAGGGCAAGCACCGATGGGCCCCGCTGCTGCTCCTCCAGTGGGGATCCTCCTCATCGTGAAGAACTACACTGGGGACCGGCTGAACTTCGGCCTGGCCCGGGAGCAGGCCCGGGCTGAGGGCATCCCCGTGGAGATGGTGGTCGTTGGGGATGACTGTGCCTTCACGGTCGTGAAGAAGACGGGCAGGCGGGGGCTCTGTGGCACGGTGCTCATCCACAAGGTGAGGTTCCCCTCCAGCCTCCGTCACCCACCCCCTAGGAGGCCATTCCTTCCCCAGTGCTCCCCGCGCCTCAGCCCAGCATGTGAGCATGCTCCCAGCCCTTCCCTCTCCTGCCCACACCAGCCACTGGTGTCTCTGCCACGCACATCCTCCGCAGAGCCTGCCCTTCCGTCCCAGCCTCGGGCAGCCCTCTGCGGGTGCCTCCTCACGGGGCTCCCCTGCCGGCCTCTTCCTCCCCTTCCAGTCTGTTCCCACACTACCCAGAGGTGCCTCTGGAACCGCGTGTCTGATGGGGCTGCTCGCCTGCTGACGGCCATCGGGGTTCCTAGAGTCAGCCCAGGCTCCGTGGTCTGGCGCCCACCACACGCTTGCCTTCCTCCCTGAGCTTTCCAAGTTCATTTCCCATCATCCCCACCCTCCTCTTATGCTCCATGAATACCATTTCTCTGTACCGGCTGCGGCCCCCCTGGGTCTTTCCTGATGCTGTACCAATGGCCTTAAAAGCCCTTTCTCCCTCTAACTCGAGTTGGCCTGGCTAATCCTCCTGTTGAGGTCCAGCTCTGGTGTCTCCCGTCTGGGAGGCTTCCCTCCCCGACACTCAGCTGGTTAGAGCCCTCTCAGTGCTCCGCCTCCCACCACGCACTCTCCCACTGCGCTCACTCCTCACTGATGCTCCCTCTGCGATTCTGCTTCCCAGACCCTCCCCAGGTTGGTTCCTCCAGGGAAGGCTTGTAACCAGTCACTTTTTCATTTCAGCACAGACTAGATGCTTGGCAGAAAGCGGGTGGGTGGGTGGGTAGATGGATGAATATGCGGGTGAGTGGGTGAGTGAGCCACAGTGTGCATGCCCTGGAGAAAGAACTCCAGACTAGGAATCAGGAAACTGGCCATCAGCCAGCTGTGTGACGTTAGACACGTCATCTTCCCTCGCTGGGCCCATTTCTCCATTTGTAAAGTTCTTTCTGGCTCCAACAGACTGATGGTTCAAGATTCCTGGCAGGTTCATTGTGAACGCGAGGATCCACCGTTCTGCCCCGAACACATGGGCCAGGCTGGTGTGGCAGTGCCCAGAGAGTCCCTGCCAGCCAGACCCTCAGCCCCTGTCTTCCGCCCCCACGTGCTAGTGACTCTGGTCCCTTTGGGGCTTCTTTCTTGGGTACAGGTGGCGGGTGCCCTGGCTGAGGCCGGTGTGGGGCTGAAGGAGATCACGGAGCGGGTGGGCGTGGTTGCCAAGGCCATGGGTGAGTGCCAGCCCAGGGGGCGGGAAGCGGGAGGGGGGGGCTGCCTTGGGACTGGGAGCGTTCCCAGCAGCTGCAGGGGAGGGCTTGCCCAGGTGTTCCCCCGGGCGAGGGGTCTCCTAGGGGAGCCAGGGGCACCCGTAGCCTTGGGGCCCAGAGCCAGGTTTCTCTTCAATCTGAGTCGGAGAGGCTGCCCCGCCTAATGCCTGCTGCCCTGACTGATGCCAGGAGCAGAGCCGTCATCCCGTTCATACCTCGTCTCTCACAGGAACCCTGGGAGTCAGCTTGTCCTCCTGCACTGTCCCTGGTTCCTCCAAACTCACCTTTAATCTTGCAGCTGATGAGGTGGAGCTGGGCCTGGGTAAGTTTTGGCCACCCCTGTCCTAGCCGTGCCTGCTCCCGGGGTTATACCCACATCTGCGCTGGGAGCCACCTGCCCGTCCTTTCAGCTTATCTGCAGCTGTCACATAGGTGCTGGGTGTTTTTAAATGGGCACTTGAAGCTCTTCGGGCTCCACCTGCCCGATTCTACTGCCACGTGAGGCTCCGTCCGTGCGCGGCCCACCTCCCTGCCTTGGCTCACATCACTCGGGGTCGCCTGCCACATGCAGCCTCCTTTCCAGGGCCATTTCGAGGCCAGTGCAGCTACAAGCTCTCCCTCTCCCCCTGGTGCTTCCAAAGTGATGGGCAGAGGCCTCATGTCTCCTCGCTTGGCTGCCTCTCGCTAAAGCTGCTTCACTATTACAAGTTCAGGTCATGGCTCTCTCCACCACAAGCCACGGCTCCTGGAGGGCAGAAACTGTCGTTTCATTATCCTGCCCGCTTCTACCCCGCCCCCCACCTACACAGCACCTAGCCCAGCCCCGAGTAAATCGATAAAAACACGATGAGCCGATCCCAGGCCTGAGCGCCTCAGCAGTGATTGCTCTATCCACAGGCATCCATGGGGAAGCCGGCGTGCGCCGGATCAAGGTAGGCGGCCTCCCTGGCCCAGGCTGGTCTAAGGCCCAGGCCTCGGACACAGCTCACTCCTGGGTCCCTCCGACAGATGGCCACCACCGACCAGATTGTGACGATCATGCTCGACCACATGACCAACTCGTCCAGCGTGTCGCATGTGTCTGTGCAGAGTGGTGAGGGGCTGTTACACCTTTGTCTCCCAGCACCCCCACCCACCCCGGGTGAGGGGCCCCGAGAGTCTCACCGGCGTCGTGTCTGCCCACAGGCTCCTCGGTGGTGCTGATGGTGAACAACCTGGGCGGCCTGTCGGTCCTGGAGCTGGGCATCGTGGCCGACGCAGCCGTCCGCACTCTGGGTGAGCCCCCGGAAGGGCCTGCTGGCACCCAGAGCTCCCTCCAGCCTGTGGAGCTGCACATACGGAAAGCAGCTGCGCCTGGCTGGTGTGGCTCACTGGGTTGGGCCTAGTCCCATGCACTGAAAGGTTGCCGGTTCAATTCCCAGTCGGACGCATGCCTGGGTTGCAGGCTTGATTCCCCAGTAGGGGGTGTGTAGGAGGCATCCGATCAATGTCTCGTTGTCACATCAGTATTTCTCTCTCTCCCTTTCCCTTCCTCTCTGAAAAACCAATAGAAAATTTATCTTAGAAAAGAAAAGCAAGCAGCGGAGGTAGGGCTTGTGGTGGCCCAGAGCTTGGGCTGTGCGTCAGACGAGCCTGAGTTAGGTCTTCGCTCTGCCCTAATGGCGAGTATTGAGCCTGTCCCTGTCGTAGGGAGGATGAAAGTCACAGTGCCTCCTCACAGGTCGTTGTGAAGGTTAAATGAGACTAAATATACCGAACGCCCTCAGCACGGTGCCTGGCACCTGTAAGAGCTCAGCAGATGAGACCTGCAGTGACCCACCTGCCCTGGAGAGGGGACACGGCCAGGGAACGGGTGACTCGGCGTTGGAGGGAGGCCCTGAGCAGACCTGGCCGTCTCCCTGCTGGCCTCGGGCCCGCTTCCAAAGCCCTTGATCTTCTCTCACTCTGTTTCTCTGTTCCGGGGGAAGTACCACCCTTCTCCTCTTCCCTCATGGACGTCCGTGCTTTGCTATTGCAGAGGGCCGCGGGGTCCTTCATGTCAGCGCTGGAGATGCCGGGCTTCTCTCTCACCCTTCTGCTGGTGGATGAGTCCCTGCTGAAACTGATAGGTGAGACCCTGCTGAAACTGATAGGTGAGACCTTGAGCCTGGGTCATCCGAGCCAGGGGCCTTGGGGAGACCCCACCAGAGGTCTCCTCATTGACCATGACCATCAGGCCCCCGGGGAGGGTCCCTTTTGACGTCTCCAGCTCTCGCATGACTGGAGGAGTTGGTGTTAGGCTTCTCCCCAGGGACAGCCCCTCTTCCCTTGTATACAGTGGGTACTCGGTACTTGCTTTTTGAGATGGAGGGAACTGGCCAGGGGGAATCCAGGTCCCACTTGACCCCTGGCCAGCCACCCCATGTCTAAGAGTCATCCTGCTGCCACTAGATGCTGAGACGACCGCGTCGGCCTGGCCTACCACGCCCAAGGTCTCCGTGACGGGGCGGAAGCGGACTCGGGCAGCCCCCTCCCGGCCCTCAGAGACCCCTGACTTCACTACAGAAGGTACCGAGCCCTGCTGCTGGGGTAGGTGACCCGGGCATTGGCCTGAGTCCCGAAGGGTGAGGGGTGTGCAGGGGCCCTATCGCCCGTATCTCACACCCCATCAAGCTCAGCTGTGAGAGGGCCGGGTGCTCCTCCTCCCGCTGTCCTCCCCCTGCAGGCTTGATCTCGAAGCGGATGGCGCTCGTGCTGGAACGGGTGTGCACGACCCTCCTGGACCTGGAGGAGTACCTGAACGCCCTGGACCGTGTGGCTGGCGACGGGGACTGTGGGACCACCCACAGCCGCGCTGCCCGAGGTGGGTGCCAGGGCCCTCGCTGCCACATTTCTGAGATGTTGGCATTTCATGAGCCAGAACAATTTCAGAAACGTTCAGAGTGCTTGCATGGGCTGCCAGCTTTCCTTTGGCCAAGCACAGTCCTGCACAAAGCCTCGCACCCCGTCCACCATTTCCATAGAGAACGGGCCTACACACTGCAGACGTGGGGAGTCGTCACTGCAGAACAAGGCGTCTCTTTCACAGGGAGGGACTAGGTCCCGAGGGAACTCGCTCTGTAGTACCCGGGCGAGTGCACCCGTCTTCATTGTCCAGCGTCAGTCAGGAAAACTAGTTAGTGCCTCTCGTGGGCCAGGCGACTCTGGATACAGCAGTGAGCAAAGCAGATGAAAAGCGCGGCCCGCGTGGCTGGTGCCCAGTACAAGACCCAGGACGGCGTGGCGGCCGAGGAGGAGCATGAAGCCGGGAAGCGAGGCCTGGGGGGGGGCCTGCCACCGTTCCTCACCCTCTGCCTGCTGCGGGGCCTCTGACCTCCCCCTCTCCGCCTGCAGCCATCCAGGAGCAGCTGCGGGAGGGTCCGCCCCCTGGCAGCCCTGCCAAGATGCTCTCCGAATTGTCCCTCCTGCTGCTGGAGAAGATGGGAGGCTCGTCCGGGGCAGTGAGTGCTGCAGTCCCCGGGGCGGAGGGTGACACGGCCCTGGGCTGGCTGCGGCCCAGGCCGGGCCTGAGTGTAAAAATTCTGGTCTTCCCCAGCTCTATGGCCTGTTCCTGACCGCAGCGGCCCAGCCCCTCAAGGCCAGCACTGACCTCCCAGCCTGGTCTGCTGCCATGGATGCCGGCCTGGAGGCCATGAGGAAGTGAGTGGAGCCTGTGCCTTAGCCCAGGGGGGGCTGGGGGTGGGGGTTGAGTGTTACCTGCTCCCAGCCAGGCCCTGCCCCAACCCCAGCACCCCCTCCAGTGACCACTTGTTCTCTCCCCTGCAGGTATGGGAAGGCTGCCCCAGGAGACAGGACTATGGTGTGTATGCGCTCAGCCCTTCCCCCTCTGATCGCAGAGCCCTGAAGGCCACCCTCAGTGCCAGGGCCTGTGCTCACGCCCCTCCCTCATCTTGTCCAGCTGGATTCTCTCTGGGCAGCAGGACAGGAGCTCCAAGCCTTGAGGAACCCAAACGCTAATCTGTTCCACATCCTGACCAAGGCAGTGGAGGTGAGTGGAGGGGCCCAGCCAACGGAGACAGGCTGGGAGCCAGTTAATACCCGTCCTGTGCTCGGCTCCCTCTCCTGAGAATGGAGACGAGTGCCTGTCCAGGGGGTGTGCAAGGCTAAAGATGAACAGAGCCCGGCCTGGTAACTGGGACCCAGCAGGTCCTCAGGAAATGGGGCCACGGGCCTTGCTACAGACAGGTGGGCGTGACCGCTCTGCCCTGGGGACAGAACAGAGGGCGCTGGCAGAGCTGGGACAGGAGGGTCCAGGGCCTCCCCCAAGCCCAGGCCTTGCTTCCAGGGCAGGAGGAGGCTGGAGGCTTGTCCTTACCCTGCTCCTCTCTGTCCCCCTCAGAGCGCAGAAGCTGCGGCCCAGGCCACCAAGGACATGATAGCTGGAGCTGGGAGAGCCAGTTACATCAGTTCTATGAAGCTCGACCAGCCAGACCCCGGGGCAGTGGCCGCCGCGGCCATTCTCCGGGCCATCCTGGAGGTGTTGCAGAACCTGGAGGATGTGTGAGTGCCACTCTCACTACTGTGCAGAGGCTGCCACTGTCACCTCCCTCGCCTCGCACGCCCATCCTCTACGTTCAGCAGCAACCCCTGCCAGCCTCCAGAGCGACTGCAGTGTAGACTGCAGGCCCAGAGGGGTCACTGCCTACTCAGGGAAGGCGGGTCCCAGGCTCAGCCCGCTCTGCCCCAGCCCCAGCCGCCTCGGCCTCAGCAGTGAGGCATTTCCCTGGGGGCGGCACAGCCGTAACTGGCATTGCTGACGTGGTGTCAAGACTCCCAGGAAATGCCTGCACCTGAGCCGGTGCCACTGTGAAAAGCAGCTAATAAACCGCATCGGAGCCAGAGCTTCTGCCGCCTCTGAGGCCCTGTCTCCAGGCGTGTGAGGAGCCGTCCTCTGCTGCCCTGGGCAGCGCTCAGCCCCTGGCGAGATGAGCCCTCCTTCCACCGAGACCCCAAGGCCAGGCCTGCACGGCTGGGCTGGCTCCACCGGGACCCCAGTCCTGTCCACCCGATACACATGCCACACCCGACGGTGTGCTTTTCTCAGCACTAAACCAACAGAACCCACTGATCCGTCAGGAAGCCAGTGGGCACATGGGACACCAAGAGGAAAAGAAGCCACCATAGTGTAAGCTGGGTGGTGGCACAGGAACCGCGCCCAGGCCAGCCCTGCTCTAGCGCAATCCTGGCGGCACTGCCGGGCCCAGTGCGTGGTGGGCAGGGCAGCGCACACCCGACCCGTGCTCCGTGCAGGGGCGGTCCCAGGGCCTGGTGTGCCCTCACATGGACACAGCTGGGTCCCTGTTCTGCTTCAGACCAGCTCCAGAAGCTCAGGCCTGTCATTTAGCCTCTTGGAATCTGGGAAATTGAATGGCGCCCGCCTTGTGGGGACAATAGAAAAGGATCCAACGAATCGATGTGAAGCCTCAGCACAGTCCGGGGGCCACTCACTGCGGGTTACTCCTCTCATTGGTGTCTGCACCCCACTTCCAGGTCCTGCGCCACCACCTACACTACAGCTGGTCACACTGGGGGGGCCCATCACTCACTCAGCCCAGGGCTCCTGTGCACCAGCCACCCCACGGTCCCCGACCACGAGGCGGTTATCAGCGTGCGCAGACGCACACACCCAGCAGCTGGGGAGGAGACTGGCATCAGACACCTGCCAGTGGGTCCCAGCGCTGCCACTTCCTGTGGGGTGACCTCGGGCAGGTGTGGGAGCACACACCAGGAAGTGCTCGGGGCCACAGCAGGAGCAGCGGCTCCGGGCGACAGTCCTCTTAAGGCCTCAGGGTCAGAACTGTCCTGGGCTTTTCCTCACCGCCCAGAGCTCCCTTATCCACAATCTCATTTCAGTAGAAGAGGCTTTGGTTCTTAAAAACATATTTAATGAGAATCAGGCTTTACAAACAGGTGAAATGCCTACCCATGTGGTCAGGGGGGGTCATGTGACCCAGCTGCCTGGCAGCCATCGAGGTGGCTTTGGAGCCTTCGGTCACCAGAGGTTCAGGCAGAGTCCTCCTGCTGGCATCTGGCCTCATCGCCATGGGCCGGAGAGGAAGCACACTCAGACCCAGGGCGCACAGCAGTGTGGCCCCGGGACCCAGCAGGACTCATGTGGAGGCAGGAAAAGCCGAAGCCCCAACACGGAGGAGACGAGCTAGGCCCCTCCCCCACTTCTCTAAAAAGCTCCGCTCGCACTGCCCTCTGCACGAGGCGGGCTGGGGCCTGCGGCAGCCGCTGTGGGAGCAGTGAGGCACTCGTGCTCAGCAAAAACCTGCGAAGGTGGCCGTGGTCCTCGGCTCTGCTGGGACAAAGCACCCAACGCTGGTCGTGTCGTGGGGGCCGGGGACAGGCAGGGAAGCCCTAACCTGGTAAAGGAGAGTAAGGCACCCCTGCCAGCCCTCCCCGCTGGGACAGCTGGGGACAGCAAGTTCCAGGCTCCTTGGCTGCCTGGCGGGGACAGGCCGGATCCAGGTCCCGGCTGTAGCAGCAATGAGAAGCGATGGCGCCACACGGTCACAGTGGACTTGAGACATGAACAGAACGGCGAAGAGCAGGCAGCCTCAGTTTCCCTGCAGAGCTGCTCTGTCATCCCCTCCCTCCCAGCCTCAAGTCCAGGGGCCAGCCATGGCGGGTGCCTAAATGACATGCACGTCCCAGGGAGAGCTGACTTCACATTACAGACGGCGCTGGAGTCGGGCCATCGGAGCTGCTGGGACTTGCCACCACCTCCCGAGGTGTCTAGGGAACCAGCTCGGCTGGACTTGAGCCAGGGAGCAGGGGTGCGCACGCAGCCAGGGCAGGAAGGGCCTGTGTACAGGGTGGACCTCACAAGTCGATGCCAGGAAGGAGAGCGGAAGTCAGAGCACCGAGAGACGCGTAGGCAGCACGTGGCGGAGAGAGCAGCCCACGGGGCGGGCGAGGTGGGGGCTCGGCAAACCGCCGGAGCCCCAGGTAGAGCAGAGGTGCTGAGGGCGTCCAGACGCACCCCGACCGCTCCTGCGTCCCTTCTCACTTCACTCCCTTTCACGCAACAGGGGCTGGAAGACAGCAGGCGCACAGGGTTAAAGGCCTAATGTCAAAACGGCCCCTGACCTGCAGGCATCACACCAGGTCTGGGCTGTTCACACAGACCCCAACCTTCAGTCCCCAAGTCACAGCATCTTTCAGGGAAGCCCGAGCCCCTCAGCCTGACACCCCCCTCACCCCACCCCTCAGACGCCGAGTGGCCAACAGGCAGAACCTGCTCCAAGTACTCAGCTCGACCACCTGCGAGACCAGCCTCGAGCTGGGAACACAGAAGTGACAACACCCCTCTTCACGCCCAAGGCTCCCCTGGGGAGGGTGAGGCCACACTTTCCCTCCTGAAGCCACAAGAATCTGGGGAAGGGAGTAACCCCCGTCCTCTCCCGGTGGACCGGCCCCCGGGAGCCCCGGAGCCTGGGCAGCTGCATCTGCTCCGATGGCGGGGATGGGCTGGCCTGACACCAGTGCCCCACCTTCCAGCTGCCCGGTTCCCCACCACGTTCCTGGGTTAGTCTTCCTGGTAAGGCCCACGCCTCTCCTGGTGACCATTCTCTGGACCCAGCCCTCCCCCAGCCTGGCCGGGGAGACCAGGGCCCGCACCTGTCCTTCGGTCGTGATCCCCACTTGCGGGCGTTTCCAGGATGAGGCCTGCAGGATGTAGAGCACCAGCAGCCCGAAGGCCACCACCAGCATGCCGGTGCCGTTGGCAAAGACAGCCTCGCCGGGCAGGCTGGAGTAGGGCCTGGTGGCGTTCTTCCTGTGGGTGACCAGAAACGTGGGCCCGAGAGACTTCCCCGGTCCTCGCCCAGTGCGAGACCCAGGGCCATGCACAGAGGGTAGCGAGCTCCCGGGACGGGACCCGCAGTGCTGACACGCTGCTGAGCCCCAGCCCCCACAAATACCTCAGGGCGCCTCTCCCTGAGAGGAACTCATTTGTAAGTGGCCCTGACACAGTGTCCATGTCGTAGGGCAGCCCGAGGACTATGTTAGAAGAGTTTGGTGCAGCAGGTGCTACGTCTGTGTGATGCTAGACAAATACCGACGGACCAATTTGCCAAGCTCACCCAAGAAAGGCCGCTGCCTTCCAGACCAGGACGCCCGGCCCCCCAGTCCCCCCTCGGCAGGGCTGTGACCACAGAGCCATCTGAAGACCCTGCTCTTCCCCCTCCACGCAGAGGGCCCACCCACTCACAGGCTGAAGAAGAGCTTCTCATTGATGCCGGAAATGACGGACGCCATGGCCAGAGCGAGGATGGAGGCTCCGAAGAAGACGTGGACAGGCTTGAGGAGGCTGCGCAGCCACAGGGACGCCCAGGGCAGCAGGAAGACAGCGAAGCCCAGGAGCCACTGCGACGCAGGGAGAAGGAGCTGAGCCGCCCGTGACCACAGGCGCCTCCGACTGGTCAGGGGACCTTCTCCCTTCGCTCCCATCAAACCTCCCACCAGGAATTGCCCCAGCACCACGGCGTCCTCACTGTGATCTGTTTCTCCTACACAAACAAGAACCTTTCATGACTGCGCAGCTACAACCCCCTCTCCTGCAGTCATCCCTGCCGGCCTCCACTTCCTTGCGTCCTGGCTCATAACCCCTGCCCACGGCGCTCTGGAACCGCAGGCCAGCAGGGTGATGGGCGCAGGGTGAGTGCGGGAGCCACAGTCTCCATGGCCCTTTCAAATGCCCACCTACAGGGTGTGCCTGCAAAGGCCGCCTCCACGCAATGAGCGAGGCCAGGGCCCGCACCTGTCCTTCGGTGCTGATGCAAGTGAAGCCCCAAGCAGAGCCATGGCTGATCCGGCGGTGGGAACCCTAAGGAGGGCAGAGCACCCACCTGGCAGGCGAAGAAGAACACGGTGGTGATGCCCAACCAGCTGTGCAGGGAGTAGAGGTTGGCGATGTGCTGATTGTTGTGATATCTGAAGACGGCCACCAGCCCCAGCACGGTCAGGATGAAGGCCAGCAGGTGCAGGGACGCGTGGGCGATTTTCCAGGGCAGCTTGGGTCCCACCCAGGACTGGGGCAGGCGGTACACCAGTGACGCTGCCGGAGAGAGCAGTCCAGGGCTCGGCCTCCTCCCCTCGTGCTCGCCCCACGTTAGGGGATTACCCACATGTCCCCACACAGCCTCCGAGGAGGGAAGGAGGAAATGCCAGGACATGATCAGGAAATGCTAGGACACTCATCGGCGTCTTCTATCCTTGCAGCATTTCCGCGACACCGGCCAGCCATGAAGGCAGGAGAGAAGGGACAGGGATAAAAAGGGAGGAACAGGTTTCCTGGACCTGCCCTTCTGTCACTGCGATACCCAAGGTGGTCTGGAGGCAGGTTTGCCGGTCAGACCCGGGTCCAGACCCTGGCTCCGCCTCCTAGCCGCCTGGATCCTCTTTCTAATCTCAGCGTCCTCATCTGGAGGAGGGTAACAACAGAGCCCGCCTCACGAGCTTCTTGTAAAGGCAAAATGGGGTGATGACCTGAAGCACACGGTAAGTTGCTCCCACAGTGTCCCCCACGTCCCCGTTTACAAGTGGGGGAAGGAGGCCCTCCTGGGCCCCACGCCCAGCTCTGGACGCTCGGGGCCAAGATGGGTCCGGCAGGAGTAAGCAGACCCCTTATGCAGGGCCCTCTAGGCCAACAGAGGCGTCCACCTCCTGCTCCCAGAGCCGGACGGCCAACTGCAGCTCCCAGGCCCAGCCCCGCCCGCCCATCTCTGTGAAGGAAGCTTCCTTGAACAGCCATGCACGTGTTTCCGTCCTCCAGGGCCACTCTCAGAGCACAGAACAGAGCTGAGTCGCTGCAACACCCATCATGTGGCCTGCAAAGCCTGATCCTACTCCCTGGCCCTTTTCTAGAAAATACCTGGGAAGCTGCCCTTTCCACATGCCCCATTCTCACTGCTTCTTCCTCCGACTGACACCTGGGCCCAAAGGCAGACCAACCGCCCGACATCCACAGCCCTGAGCCCAACAGTGACAGAGGCCAGGCCCGGAGAGGGACTGCTCGGCCCGTCTCCCACGCTGACCTCACTCACCAGCGCTGTAGACCACCACCATGCCAGCCACCATGAGCACCGGGTGACAGTTGAACGTGAGGATGCTGCCATCCCAGGCAAAGCCACCGTGCCAGCTCCACATCCAATAGACGGTGAAGAGGACACACATGAAGCCCAGGGAGGACAGCGCCAGGACCGACAGGTAAAAGCGTCCCTCGGCCATTCCGGTCAGGCTCCTGGAAGCAGCAGCAGCCACGTGTCCCTCCGCTCAGTGCGCCCACACCCGCGAAGACCGCGCTCTCGGTCTGAAGGGTGGACACTTTTGTTTCAGTTCCCCTGGGCACCACCCCGTGAGGCCGGACCCCTGGTTAGGGACCGTGACTGAGGCCCCACCCCCTACCTGGCAGCACACAGGGCACCCAGCAGGCCTGGGGCTGGCCCAGAGTGGCGTCTCCTCTGCTGTGGCTGGTGCCAGGGCTCTGGGCCCACAGGGCCCGGAGATAAAGAGCGACCTCCTCACGGCAAGAAGGGGCAGGAATCAAACTCCGGCTGGATCACACCGAGGCCCGGCCCGCACTTCCGACAGGAGCCGGCACGCTCCCTCGGGCCGCCGGGAGGACGGGCCCTGGGCCCCGCTCTACAGAACAGCTCTTCCCCGATGGTGAGGTCTGTGGGCCGGGCCTTCCCTCCCCTCCCGATCCCCACTCCACACCTTGAATTGGGCTCGGCCTCGGCTAATCCCCAGGCCTGAGCCTTCCGCTTTCTCTTCCTCTGGGGAAAGTCCAGAGGAGAAAAGAGGAAGCGAGAACTCACGCTCTAGAAAGCAGGAGTTTACAGTGCGTCCTCACCTGACACGGTCGGTGGGTTCTTGCCGCTGTGGCGAACTGACAGACGATGAAGCCAGTTTCACCCCAGCCTCCTTGTTCTAAACAAGAGTGAAGTCCCCACCGCGTCTCATCCATGTTAAATGAAACCACATTATTCGAGGACCTGCTGTATTTCCACCCGAACTGATAACTCAGAAAGCAACTCTGGTGCCAGGCCTGGAGGGCGCGAGGCCCCCAGCTGCCCTCACAAGTCAGGCAGGTGGGCGTGGGGCGTAGCGGGCAGTGCCACTGCCTTCAGCTAATGGGCAGGGGGCGCGGGCCCCTTCTCCACCCCACGGGCTCACCAAAAGGTGGCGCTGTGGCTTCCTGCAGGTGAGGCCCCTGGATCTGAACCAGCTCACAGAGGGAAGAGGGGCCCTAAAGGGTGGACCGCCTCACAAGCGGCGGCGAGGAGGGAGCCCTTTCCTCCTTACTCCTTACCTTAGACCCGGGCAGGCTGCAGAGGGGCGAGGCGGGGCGAGGCGAGGCGGGGCACTTGAGCGGGCACGCAGCACTCGCAGGACTCAGTCTTCTCAGCTGGAAGAGGGGCACAGCTGTGAGGACATAACTCGGTGAGGCAGCTGCGAGCAGACCCACACTGGACCCTTACGCACACGATGCCGTGGACTCCGCTTAGCAAGCCTGTGAGGAGGTACCTCCCCGTGTTACAGATGAGGAAGCGGAGGCTCAGGAGGAGTAAGTAGCCGGCACTAAGACCCAGTCACTGAGCAGGAAGTTTCAAACCCTGACCGGTTTGCCTTCAGGGCCCATGTTTTTGCCTTGACCACAGGTTGTCAGGAGGGAGTGAGAAAATGTATGTAAGGACACAGTGAAAGTCAAGTATTGCACTTTTCTTAGTGTCGTCGCTAAGAAAAAACCTACCAGCAAAAACCTGAAGCTCGGCCCTAGCTCGTTTGGCTCAGTGGATAGAGCATCGGCCTGCAGACTGAAGGGTCCCGGGTTCGATTCCGGTCAAGGGCACATGCCCCGGTTGTGGGCTCGATCCCTAGTAGGAGGTGTGCAGGAAGCAGACGATCAATGATTCTCCCTCACCATTGATGTCTCTTTCTCTCTCCCCCTTCCTCTCTGAAATCAATAAAAGTATGTAAACAACAAAAACAAAAACCTCAGGCTCATGGCCCTCGTGCCTGCCCAGGCCTCTCAGTGGCCCTGACTCTGTGCCAGGCCAGCTCTCTCCAGCCAGGTGTCCACCTAACCGGAAACAGACACTGAGCTCTCAGGCAGCGATCCAAGCTGCAATCACCTCGGATAAAGGTCACCTGAGGTCTGCGGAAAGAAGCCAGCTTCCACGAGGCGGGAAGGGCACAATCAAGCCATCAGCTTCCTCCCTCCTCAACCCGGAGCTCAGAGCTGTCCCTTAGCTCCCTCGAGAGCAGAGGGAGCCTCAGGTCACCAGATGCTCAGTCACCCCCACCCCACCCCGCCCCCCGGGGAGGGTTAAGTCAGCAAGAAGGAGCTCTTGGTCAGTGGGCCCCACCCTTCAAACATCTACTTTCAGCATTTTCCTTTGTTAAAGGAGAAAAGAATATAACCCAAAAGGGACTGGACCCACGCCCTGGCAGAGGTCCTGTTACTGCGCTGGGGCAGGCGTGGAACCGGGCACAGGGCACAGTACACAGACGAGCCCTCCCTCTGCCTGAGATACAGCCACGCAGAGGACAGGGAAGGACACGGGGACGCGGCAGTCAGACGCTGAGAACACCCCCTCATGCACCCGGAGGGCAGGTGGTGCTGGTCCAGGTGCTCACCGCGGCGTGGCCTCCGGTTCCGCCCTCGCTTCTCGGGGACCCGTTCTCAGAGACGTCCGTCCGAGAACTCCTCTGTGAAGGGAGGATGGTAGATAGTTCAGTCTCGGCCGGCCGTCCCGGCTGTCACACCCGAGCACCACCTCTGCTGATGCAGTGCGAGCAGTCACAGGCGACGCCTTCACAAAGGACCGTGGCTGTGTTCCAAAGCGTTACTGACGGACACGGAGACTAATTTCTTATCATCTCCACATTTTACCCTTTTCACTTCTCTTCAGCCACTTAAGAATGCGCAGGCCCTTCAGGGGAGCCCGCTGTGGCCCGTGGTGAGGCCTGCCGACCCGACTTAAGGGGTCTGCCCTCCAACCTAAACCTCTCCTGGGGCCTCGGCAGGAGGGTTCTCCGTCTCCCAGGCTGCACACAGCTCGGCCCGGCAGGATCGGTACGGACACAGCAGGCCCTGGAGGGGCCACTTCTCCTGTGCCAACATGTTCCCGCCTGGTTCCATATCGGCCTGTCAGTAATTAGGACACCCCCAGACCTGGGGCGCAGCAGGGAGACCTGGTGGGTTTGGCTCCAGGACACCACAGCAAGGCGAGTGTTGCAATAAAGCCGGCGGAACCTTTTTGCTGGTGGAGGGTCTTGCCTTTGTAAGAAATGCAACAGCCGTGAAGCCCCACAAAGCAAGGGCAGCCGAGGGAGAGACGCCTGCGTGGCCAGGCAGCTCTTCGACTAGGAAAAGGCTCCATGTCAAACGCGTACAGTGTTACCTTTACAACTTCCAACGCAAATGGATGAGAGAGAGGACAGTCGTGTTGTTGCTCTCCCTTCCCAGGTGGAGGGGGGCTCTAGGAATCCGGAAGCTCAAGTCCTGAATGCTCGAGCACGCGCACCCCTCCTTTCTCCCAGGTAGGTTCGCTCTCTACACCCTAAGGGTCCCCACAAGCCCTGCAAGCAGGAGAGCAGCGGGCGGCGGCAGCTCGTCCCGGGCTCACCCTGAACCCGTCTCCAAGGCCCCTCTCCTCCGCGCTTCCGGAGCCAAAGCAGCCCGCCCCGGCCTCGGCTCTCTCCTGCGGCTGCGTCTACCCTCAGCCCTGTTCCACGGACCCCAGCTTTAATGAACGTCCTCTCAAAAAATAAAAATAATAAAAAACGCTGGCTCCAGAGAAGAAATGGGACTCGGCCCAGGAGAGCAGCTGGGCTGGCGCAGGAACCCTGGTCGCTCCCCGCACTGGAGGGCTCCTCACCTCCGAGGGCGGCCAGGGCTCGGGAGCGGGGGACCCCAAGTTCCAGCCCCGAGGCGGACCAGCAAAGCCCCCCTTAGCACAGTGACTGCGGACCCGCCATCGGACGGTGCGGGGGGCTGGCTCCGGGGTCCGAGGGCCATCCCGGGGCCGCGGGGGCCACCCGACTCCCCTCCGGGACGGAGGCGGCCCCGGCCAAGCGCGGGCGAAAACCAAGGCGCCGGGCTCCACTGCCGACGCGCCTTCCGGAGAGATTCGGTGTCGGCACAGCCACCGCCGGTGGGAGGAAGGCCCGGAGACGGTGTCCCCTCCCTAAAGGAGGAAACTGAGGCCGGGCGAGGCCCGCGACAGTGCGAAGCGGGGCAGCAGCAAAGGCAGCGCTCGAACCCGGGCCCCGGAACTCCCAGCCCGGGCTCTCACCCCCGAACCACGGTGGGACGCAGCGGAGTCTGGGGTCTCCGAGACCCGCCTCTGCCACCGGCGGCCGTTCTCGAGGGTCCCAGGTGAACTGAGACAGAACAGCCACGAGAAACACACGCACGGGGCACCACGGCCCGGAATAGCCTGGCGAAGCCGCGTTGACCATTTAAAGGCTCAGGGAACTTCCGGTCGCGCGCGGGGCCGCCTGGGAAATGAAGTCCGGAGTCGCCCTCTCCTCGAGCGCCAAGCAGCTGATTCCCCCGCCACTTCCGCCGCGGGCGCCCCACCCCCACCCCCAAGCCGGGGGACCCCGGGGCCGGCAACGCCATCGCGGGCCCGCCCTGCCCCTCACTCCCCGAAATGTTCGGGCCCAGCGAAACCCCCGCCAGGGGCTGGCGCTCAGCAAGGCCACGCGGAGGGTCGGGCCCAGGAAAGCTGGGCCCCAACATGGCCACCCGGCCGTCCACAGAGCGGGCCGAGGAAACCTCCGCCTCCACTTCCGGAATTTGAACCGGTTTCCGGAAGCCAGGACGGTGTCTCCATGACAACCGACGTTGGGGCTTGAGGTGCGCTGCTTGAGGACTAGCAGAGAAAGTGTCCGGAAGTCCGCGCCTTGTTGTTGTTTGGGTTTTGGCTTCTTGCCGAGGCAGCCCCGTTGTTAAAGCGGATTCGGGGAGGCGAGGGGGCGTGCCCTGGGGCAAAGGGCGCGCGGCGGGCGGCGGCATCCCGGCTCCACTCCCCTGCCCGCTGGCCGGTGACCCGAACTCTGACCTGCAGGATGGGGATCATGCTTTCCCGCCTTGCAGAGTTGCTGCAGGGTTAGAGGAAGCTGCCTCGGTGCTGGTAAGTACGCGATAACTACCAGTATCTGATGAAGGAGGAAGCTGGGCGCAGAGAAACCACGTTCCTACCCCCAGCAGGCGGGCCTTCAGCAGGCGGGCCTTCATGGGCGAGGCTCCTGACCCCTCAGCCTCTGTGAGATGGGGGCACACGCACGCTAACCGCTGCTGCGCAGGCCGGTGTGGGATGAAACAAAGTAATAAGTCTGAAAAGAGTTGTACATTGTAAAGCATTTTACAGATGTTAATTCAATCTCAATCTAACACCTCAAAACATTTTTTAAAAATATATTTTTATTGATTTCAGGGAGGGAGAGAGAGAAACATCAATGATGACAGAATAACCCATCAGCTGCCTCCTGCACGCCCCACACTGGAGATCCAGCCCGCAACCCGGGCCTGTGCCCTGACCAGGAATCAAGCCATGACCTCCTGGTTCATAGGTCGAAGCTCAACCACTGAGCCACTGCGGCCGGGCCACCTCAAAGCATTTTGAAATTTGTTCATACATTTAATCCAGATGGAGTGGTCACAGGACACCCCCAGAGCAACTTCTGGGTCTTGTCATATCCTCCTATACAATAAAAGGCTATTATGCAAATCAACCGAACAGCAGAACAGCCGGTTGCTATGACATGCACTGACCACCAGGGGGCAGACACTCAACACAGGAGCTGCCCCCTGGTCGTCAGTGTGCTCCCACAGGGGGAGCGGTGAGCGCAGTGCGGACATCCCCTGAGGGCTCCCGGACTACGAGAGGGCACAGGCTGGGCTGAGGGACCCCCGAATTTCGTGCACTGGGCCTCTAGTATGGAAATAAAGGCCCAGCTTCCATTCCCTGGTGCCCACTGTGTTGCTCTCATAACCTTACACGCAGTTCTGCGGGAGAGCACTGTTTCCTCTCAGCTTTTTCTGCCTGCACCACTTCCCACTTCTCCTGTGCCAACATGTTCCTGCCTGGTTCCATATCGGCCTGTCAGTAATGTAAGAGACCACTTTGTGCAGTAGGTAAGAGCACCCAGACCAGACTGCCTGGATCCGAATCCCAGCTCTGCCGCTTACTAGCAGTGTGACCTTGGACAGATTAGTTCATGTCTCTGGACCTCAGTTGTCCCATCTGTAAAATGGGGAGTATCTTCTACTTTGTGAGATTTAAACAATAGGA